ACATTTGATATTAAATAAATTTACCACTAATAGTAGAGATTCGCTTTAAGTCTTTAAATTAATACTTGTGATTAGAATATTTGTTGTGCATTTAAAATACATTATAAATACTTTTAAAGATTGAGTAACAAAATATTAGTATTAATTGATATAAAAAAGAAATATTTTTTGATAAAACCTAACAAACTAATTGTAATCATTGGTGCTGTAGTTAAGCATATGATTCAAAAGGCACTTTTTGCTCATAAATTTTTTCCTGCCACTGATGCTCATCTGGCAGGGTTGTATGACGTAGTTTACACAAACGGGGGCCAAATCTCAGAATAATAATGATTACAAACACTATTAAAAAGAGTGTTAGAGCTGCATTTGCGGGCCAGTATACATGAAACATTTTGAATATTAATTAAATTGCACTCTCTCTTTTATGCTGAAGTTCTAAATATTCTGAGTGTTGAACAGTAGTTTGTTGTTCTTGTGGTGCTGGTTGATATACTGTTGGAGCTACACTTGGTATATCTACCAATTCTAATTCCGTATAGTCAAGAGATGGTTGGTTATGAGGGGTTGCTGTCCAAAGTGATATTATCCAACGATTACCTAAAGTAACATTAGATAATGATAAATACCCACAAATATATCCTTCAATTACCTGTAAATCTGTCGTTCCAATACTCTGAATATCTGGTACAGCAACCAAGTACGATATTAATGACAAATATTATTGCAAGGACTACACTGCAAATTGCAACTGTAATGTAGAATGGGGAGAAGTTACCGTACTCGCGTTTTAAAAGATAAGGACTTTTCAAGAATTCCTGTCTTTCGTCAAAAACTGAAGTCATGATACAATGTAAAATCTTCTAAAGAAGTTATACATTTACTAAAAATGAAAAACAAATTAAAAGAAAGTTACTGTTTTCTTTATGGGTTAGGGTGTGGCTAATTAATTGGTATAATTACATTATTTACACATTAAATCAAAAGATAATAAATAATAAGATATGAATTATACATACCTTGTACAAATAATTTAAATTTTGTGTTAAAAAATTACTTTCTGTCGAATAAAAAACCTAAACACAAAACATAACAACACCACAAAACAGAAAAACCCACCATTTGCAATTTATCTAACCCATAGATTGATTTTCATAATTACATATATAATAGATCATAGTCGTAAGAAAGTGGGTGTACTGCGTACTGCATAATACACGGCGTAAAAATTCTCTATAAATGAAAAATAATTACCATTTATTGGCACTATCAGACGCCATTTTGTAGGCTTTCTTTACTAGAAATGCAATCAATTAAATAAAAAAAAATGTAGATAGGTAATTTAATAGGTATGGTTTAAAAGAATCAAATTATCCGTTGATTAATCTCAGTTGGTATATATACCCGACGTAATACAGATATGAAAACATAATATATTATTTAAAAGCTACTAACCCAAAACTGCAAAAAGTTGAGCTTTATTCAAAAAGGTAATAAAACTGTACGTAGGTACAGAAGTCGTTAGCCCATTTAGAGCTAAAGAATAATAAAAAAACTCAACTGTTTATTGTTTTTTTTTTTTTAACGAAGGCGCGTCTAGGTACCTACTTTAGAAGTTGAATGTGAATTCACTTTACATTTATTAGAACTTAAAGTTTCATGTAATGGTAACGAGCAATGTGATTACCTACTACCTGCTTCGAAAGTAATTGGTGGAGTTCTCTCTTTTATGAGGCATTATGAGTGAACAGTAGCACTTTTCTGCTATAATATCCTTCTACGATAAATGGTTAAGATGTTGAAGAAAAGAAAGACTTCACTCGCACGTGGGTATGTAATAGACTCACCCTGGCTCTCTGTTTTTATATGTATAGGTAGTAGGGCAATGCTTATAAATAAATAAATAATG